CTTGAAATGGTGGCGCGACAAACTCCGTGTTGTGCGGCCGTGGTGAAGGGGGTTTGCCCGGCGTGGTTCTGCTTCTATCAGCCTGAAAGGGGGGGCGACTGTTGGTATTTTCACAAGCAAAATACGTCGGGGAGAGGGCTGGCCTGGGTGGGGCAGGGAAGGTTCTAGCACTTGACCTTGCAGGCCCGGCCTGAGGCGGCGTTTTACATGAACGGGGCTGTGGTAGAGAGCAGAGCGTGCGTGGGTCTGCTTGGAAAAGGCGGGGTAACATGGCGGCTTCTGTGCTAATAGGGGGGTTGGAACTAGTGAAACTTACTGTACTATTAGCTGCTTGTGTACAGGTTTTTGGAGAAAACGGGATGGTGAAAGTGCATGATGGGCCTTACTGAGCAGCAGTACTCCATGCTCCTTAGGAATCCTGGAATTTCCGTGTTGTATCAAGTCACGCAAAACTAGAAATAATCGTGCTGCTTTCCCTTAAATTCCTGGAGCATGACAGAAGCAGCTGAGATCCGAATTAAGACTGTGAGAATAATGGCTGGCAGCAAGTAAATGTAAGTGAGAATGCTTGCTCTAACAGTCTACAGATGTAACTTTTAGATATATAATCCAAACACACATACTGCTTTAATAAACAGGAGGTTTTGTACATATAAGCAAATGCACATCAGTGCTATCGAAATTAATACTAGAACATGGATTTCAGTTTTAATACATACACAGCTCTGTGAAGCCATGTTGATTTCCTTCACATATGTTGGCTCAAAGTAAGAGAAGAACAGGAAAATAAATTATGTTCAAGTTAAAGGGGTGGGCCACAAAAATGAGGAAGTGTTTTTCGAAGAGGAAATCAAAAGGAGGAGTTACTTGCAGACTAACTGCGTGGAGGCAGGATAGGTGAGGTTTTGTGTTTGTTGATAGTCTTAAATTATTTTAAACTGTGGCAAGGTTAAGCAGCACAGTAACAGGAGCCACTAAGTTATATACAAGCAAAAAATGTGTTAAGCTACATGTAATAGGCAAGAACAAGAAAAAATCAGACAGTTTGCTATTTTCACGGCCTTGCAGAAACTGTTCTCAGCCTTACCAGGAAGCTTATAGGGTTCGGAGGTACAGAGCCCTAAAAAGGGTATTTTGGGAGAAAAATCTTTAACAAGCTATATTAAATCAGTGACTCTTACTGAAAAAAGAATGGGGAGGATCCCTTACTAGAAATTTGCAGAGGGTAGTAGTAAGGAACCTAGTCAAATTGAAGTGCTACTGCAGGACAAATTAATAATAAGTGGTCGATTGAGGTGGTAGTCCAAATTGCTGAGGGGTAAACAGCAATAGCCAAAGATAAGCCTAACTTAGGTATTACTTTTGAGGAAGAGATTGTGGAAATGTACTATTTGAAAAATGTGCTCCATTCTTGGCAACCATCAAAAAAAGGGAAAAAAATCACTAGGAAATAGTTCACAACGGATCAAAACCATTTTGATGCTTCCACTATTTAAATCTGTACGGGATCTTGAATAGTGTGTGCATTTCTTGCCAATTAAGAGAAAATGGCAAGGATAATCAGAAGCGTGGAATTGTTTTTAAAGGAAAAAGAATTAGGCTGAAGCTTTGGTGTACAAAGGAGGTGACTGAGAAGAGGTTAATGTCCACAAAGGGTATAAATAAATAGAAAATTTCAAATAAATCATTTTGTTTCATGCCCCTTGTTCTTAGCAGGCAATGTGTTGAAAATGAAATGTTTTTCAGGTAGTGCACAATTAAACTGTGAAACATACTGTCATGGTATCTTAGAAGCTAATAGCATAAACTGAACAAAAAATGGGAAGAAACGGCCATCGACTACAGTGAGGTTATTTTTGTCTCAGAAAAGCCTGAAAGCATGGATTGCAAGATGTGGGAGGATGTAAACAGAGAGTGTTGTTTCCACCCTTCTTCCTTATGTTGTTTTCATTCACAATGGCCACTGCGTGAAGCAGGTGGTGTGGCAGTATGGCTGCTTGCATTTATGCTTCAAGCGTCACCTTTTCCCGTGTGTGCCTGAAGTCTCAGGTAGCAAAGTACTCACGGTTTTTCCCTAAGCTGGCAAAGCAAGGCAGATAAGCAACACAGTGCCCACTTCAGGTATTTTTTTTCTGAACAGCCCTGTCCTTCAGTGCACTTGTGACCTTTGAATTGCTTTACTAGCCATGTTGTGGAATTTGAAAAGATAAAAAGTCTGTTTCTCATCACATGGATTTAGTACTAGTTATAAAAGCACCCAGAGAATGAGTAACTGTTTAAAACCACTGCTCAAAGTAGCATTTAATTACCTATCTGCTATAGTTATCTGTGTCCAACCTGTAACCATTTGCAATTTTAACTCCTTTACTCTCTCAAAACGCCTAGGTGGGCGTGTGGCTGTACCTGGCATTCCTTCAATTTAACGGATATTAGTTAAAACGTGGCAACTCCACTTGACTTTTGAGGCTCACCACACTCTAAGTGGTAGAATCCCCCTTCCCCGCGGGCCGAGGCGGATCTGCGGCAGCGCAGCGGGAGAGGCCTCGGTTGGGGTCGAGCCAGAGCCACCAGGCCCCGGCCGCCCACTTGCCCGCGCATGCGTTGCCGCTCGCGCCCCTCCTTGCGCGGGCGGTGGGCGCGCGGGCCCCTGAGGGCGGGGCGCTGCGGGCGGTGACGTAGCCAGAGACCACGCCCCGACAAGGGGGGGAACTTCCGCCCGCCAGCGCAGAAGCTGGTCAGTCGGCTGAGCGGCAGCCCCGCCCACGCAGGAGGAGGCGAGGATTCTGACAAGCTCGGGCCGCTTACATAAGCGAGGGGGCGGGGTCTGCGCTTGCGTCAGCAGCCGGTTCCCGGCAGCCCCTGCGGCACCCCATATATAACCGGCATCTGGGCGGCGGGGTGCTCTACATTCAGTGGCCCCCACCAACGGAGCCGGAGCCTGCGTAACCTTTCACCACCCACTTTAAGTGACCGGGATCGTCTCGCCCACCGCCACCATCACCATGCCCGGGTATTCCAGCGACAGGGATAGAGGGTGAGTCCGGGGGCCCGGCCGGCGCTAGCCGCCGCCAGCGTCCGGACTCTGTAGACCGACTGTGGGGTTATTTCTTCAGCCGCTTAAAATGGCGGCGAGTCGCGACGGTTGGGCCCTGGAGCCTTTCTACTCAGCGCTTGCCGCCGCGAGGTCTCCGGAGCTTGGCGAGGGGAGGCTGGGGGAGGGCAGCTGGCGTTAGTAGCACTTGGCGCCGGCGGGGGCGGCCATTGTGCGTGGGCGGCAGTACAGTCCGCGATGGGGCTAAATCCATCCGCCTAAGCACAGCCCCCGCGGCTGTGTGACCGCTTACGAGGGGCGCGGGCGGGTTGCGGTGGTTTTTT